TGATGGATCAGCTTTACACATTTTGACATTGAATCAAATCGACCGATACTCACCCTTACTCCTAGCCATTGTTGTTGGTCATTGATCAAATCACTTGTCAAAACCAAGACTTCAACGAGCGGTGGTGAGATATATATATATTTTGAAGGTTGGTCTTGGAAGGATTAGAATCTAAGACCACATGGTTCTCAGAATGTTTGGTGACCATTGCATTACATAATTAACTAACTGTTAAAGTTAACTTTTATTAATAATAAAGTTTAAATCTCATTGTTTTCAAAAATTGGATGGGACCATTGCATCAAAAATAAATTTATGATTATAGACACCATCAACTCTATAAGTTAAAGGCCAATTTGCTTCCTTGCCCATGTAAAAATGGTTGTCTCACAAACGTATGGTAATACACTAACAAAAGAATTTGAGAAATTAAAGGGAAATTAATATGAATCCTAAACTATCATTAGCATAAATTTGATGTGTGTGTATGTATAACCAAAAATATTATTAAAATTAGATTTAAATATGACTAAAAAATGATAAAGAAGTTTAGGATATGGAGGGAAGCTCGTTGATCAGCCCAAGAGATGATATAGCTTTTAGTTCGATCGAGATGATATAGTCTTTAAAGGAAAAGGTAGTAACCAAACACGAGGACAAACAGGTAATCTGAATCTAAAAAAAACGAGGCACATACATATTACATAATACATGATCATTAAATTAAAATTAAATTTAATTGTTAATAAACCTTATAATAATTAATTTTACTAATAATTAATTTTTTATATGAAATTTCAACGTAATTTTTCCATCCATAAAAGACTGAATAGCCTAACTTCTCTTCATTTATTTTTTAATTTCCTTTTCACTTATAATCTACACACTTAAATTAAATGTTGAATATTTTATATTTAATATTTTATTATTATTAAAGTGTAAAATAATGAAAACTAAATAAATAAATTTAAAACATAACAAATTTGATCAAAACAAACTAAACTACAGGTCAAAATTCTGGATTGTAATTAAAACACAACAAAAATTAAATAAAAAAAGTTAAGTCCAAAAAAAATGTCTTTTCATTTCTCCTTTCCTATCCCTTCCTGCTAAATTGAGATTTTTTTATGAGAGAAAGGGAGAAAATTACATTTAATTAAATTTGTTCATGTTATTTTAGAAATTTTAAGCTATTTATGATATTAAAAATCGTGTCTTTTTTTCCTATAACAAAATAAATTTTATTATCTAATAAAATTTAATAAATAATATTTTTATAAATAAAATTGAAATTAGGTCTCAGGAGTGCAGAGATAGTGGCACATCAAACACAATTTTTTTTAAAAAAATTAATAATTGTACAAAGCTTGATATCACACAGCCTAAGTTATATTCTTTTCACTGAAAACAAAATTTGAACCCGATGTCATGGAAATCATTTTTCAAAATATAGTATTATAATAAATAAGTTTTTTATTTTTCAAGTATTGGGAGTCAGTCTGTCCTATAAGTGTTTCCTCAAGGTTTACAGCCTTTACTCTATTTTGCACTGTTTGGATTTTTGGAATTTTTAGCATTCCAAAAGGATGGACTGGGAATTGTGTTTCATGATTATAACAATAAAGTCCATAAAACTTGTAAAATATAATAAAATAAATTCTACCCCTCTGTCCTTCTTTAGAAGACATTTCTAAAAATGTGATTTGGTGTTTCAAAATATAAAATATTTTAATAAAAATAAAGTTTTATTATTACACTTGTTCTAATACTGCCATTCTTTTCTTATTATATTTTATCTCTTTATTTAATTTTCACCAATAATGTTATATTAAATGAAAAGTATTTTTAAAAATTTATGTCCATGTTTTTTTAAAAAATAAAACTGTAAAATGTATCTAATAAATTTTATTGTTATACATAATTTTGTTAAAAAAAATATCTTATAACCTGGAACATGGGGCATTATAATAACAACATATTGCATTAATATCTTGAAATTAAAACCCTAAATTTGTGACATTGCTGAATTTATAATGTGTAACAGAATTTAATAATGTATTCTTAGTTAGAGGTGATAATTCAAGCCATGCTTAATAAATCCAACAAATCTTAGTATCAAGTTTGGGAGTTTAAAATATTTTATATACTTATTAGAAAGAAATGGAATTGATTGGATTGAAAAAATTGAAATAAAAATAAATTAAATCACCCCTCCATCTCATAATAAGTATGATAAAACTTATAGATATATATTATAAATGTGAAAAATATTTTTTGAAAATATCATAAACTATGATTCACATTTTCATAACTAATTACATCTCTTCTTTATTAATGTAGTCTACCTACTCTTTTGATAATATTATTTTTTTAATTAATTTTATTTCAATTTATTTTAGTAATTAAATGGGATGTAAATGGTAAGATAATGGGTGTAGGGGTAAGTCTGGCACATGTGCATTTAAACACACTCAAAAATTCAAGATCCCAATTACATATTCTCACTTTCTAATTTAACGTATAGAGAGGAGGGTGATATGTGTCAGGCCACAAATAAATAGAGTTAGGAAAATGGGCTAACCCAACCCTAAAAGGCCAGCCTTTGACAGGCTCGGGCCTAAAAGGATTGGGCTTAAAAAGCCTGTTTTCCTTTTGAGGTATCAAATTATAAGGCCCGACTCTTGAGATGGCGGGCTCAAGGTCGGCCTTGCAAGCTTCAAGCCCTATTATTTTTTAGTTTTTAATTAATTTTTTATCAAATTAAATATTAACACTTCATTTCATTACACAACTCAAAAATCTCATACTAATATATAAATCAAGAGTACAACCATATCAATAAATAAAATAATAGCAATCAAAATAAAACAACTAAATAAACCACAAATACAAACAAAGTGATAGCATCATAATGGTCACATGAGATATATCATAGATACAAGTCTGACTAAGAGCAAAACTGAGAATAAGGAAAGAACAAGCAAAAGAAAATCATACTATAGTCCTACTTGAGCAAGAGGAGGATTTGAGAGATGCGATCGTTTAAGTTTTTGAGTTTGGCAAAGCACTGTCACAAACGAAAAAGCACAATGAAGTATGGTCACAGATAAAGGAGCACTGTTAGAATTGGGGAGATGCTATCAATAAAGAGGAATGATGAGAGACGAGCACAACTCACATAAATAAGAGATAAATCGTAGAGGGGCAGAATCGATAAAATATAGTTTGGAGAGTTAAGTTAGGGGATTTAGGGCTAGTTGTTATTTTTTTTAATGTTTTTTCTCTCTTGCATGTACAAATAGATCATGCTTAAACTTTTTTTTCAAATCCAAGTATTTATCAAAAGTTAATTATTTGAATAAAAAAATATTTAGATATAAAAAAATATGCGAGCTTAAACAAGCTGGCCTTCGACCCTTTAGGGCCATTCTGTTTATTTTTGAGCCCATTAGAGCCAGCCTATTTAAGTTTGAATTATATTTAAAAGGTTTTAATTGCAAGCCTGGCCCTTCAATTAAACAGGCCAGACCAACTGGTTGGGCCTATATTTCTGGCTCTACAAACAGACAAGTACAGCAAATTTATATGTTATAATTTTTCAAAAAAAAAAAACCAAGCATGCATTGATCTTTACCAAATATTTATTATTTATTATAACCCTTAAACTTAATCACCATAACCATTAGAAGACATTCATGCCACTTATTTTAACCTTTGCAGCCTCAAATCATCATAAAAATTCATTCACTTAGTCTAAGGTTTTGGATTTAAGCTCCCAATTATCATAATCATCATCAAAACAACCTAAATAATACCTATTTAATCTCAAAATCATCATAAAATTTGGACCTAATGGTTGGGTATATCCAAAAATAAGAATCCTAATCATAAACTCTAAAAACTAGCTCAAATAAGAGACTAACGAGTAAGAATAATATTAAATAAGCTTACTTTACTAATTTGAGCCTAAAAAAGTGCTTAAAATCAATGCTTCCACCAGACTCATGAGCAACTAGCTGAAGAAAGCAACACGAGCACATCTAAAAATGGAGAATACGAACAAGGGAGCAGGAAATTTTGAAGAAATGAAAGATAGAGTTTCAAAAAGAGGATGATATTAGGTGGGAAGGATCAATACCATTGAAGATATATGATTTTGGGCAAGAAAAATGGTAAAGATTGAGGAAAAAATCATATCTATGAGTGAGAAATCGTGAAAAATGACAAATGTGCTAGAGGAAGGAGATGATATAGAAATTTAAAAGATTTTTTACATCAGTTGTTTAAGAAATCAACGTTGAGAGTCCATCAAATAAGTTGATAATTATAAAATTGCTATCACCTTAACTTTCTACATCATTTGCCTATCAATTGATATAAAAAGGTCCACTATAAAAAGCTAAATCCAGACTAGTGCCAGCTAGTTATTGTTTATGAGAGCTTGATTTACAGCTACTTAAAATATAAGATGCACTTAAAAATAAAATTCCATGCCTGTCTCAATGCTTCCATCCGCTGCTATGTCTAATTGCTTCAAAAAGTGATATTTAGGTGGTAGAAGTAATGTAAGCACGGAGCCAAATGGAGCCGGTTACCATTCATAAGGAAAGAAGACAAGAAAGTCGGCTGAGTCGCTATAGCTGTGAGTTTTTTTTTTTTTTTTTAAGAAATGAGTTTTAGAACTTAGAAGATATATTAATTTTAATGTTCTATTTAGAAAAAATAAAAAATTATAAAAAAATAAAAAAATTATTTTCGAGAAAATTTATAATTTCCAGATTTAATTCCACGCTAACACAGGTTTATATTTTTAAATTTTTAAGGCCTGAAATGAACAATTGAATATTTGGGGAAAAAAAAGGAAACAGAAAAGGGTGACGTTAATAGCGGGTCTCTGTTGGAGAAAAATGTGGGGCCTTGATTTGGAAAAAGCCCACAAAAACTTCAAACCGGCCCATAGCTTAATGTGGTGAAGGCCCTTAGAGAAATAAAATGCTATTTAAGTGAAGCCCTTCGTCTTCTAGGGTTTTGTGTGCGCATTGCATTACGGCCGCTCGCAGCTAAGCTCTGCATACTTCAAGCTTTAGCCATGGCCGTCGGAAAGAACAAGAGAATTTCCAAGGGAAAGAAGGGAGGAAAGAAGAAGGCGTAAGTCTTCATCAATTTATTTTCAACGTCTCAATTACGTTGTTCTCTCTGTGTGTATTTATTTCTAGTTTGTGTTGTCGTTTTTTTCTTTTCTTAATTTGGCTTTCAGAGCTGATCCATTTGCCAAGAAGGACTGGTATGATATCAAGGCTCCTTCTGTGTTTCAAGTTAAGAATGTGGGCAAGACCCTCGTCACTCGTACTCAGGGTACCAAGGTAATTTCGTAGTTGTTTTCTCCGATTTCCGTTGCTACGGAAGTAGGGTTCTTGGTTCATCTTTAAACTCCGGAGTAAAGACTCGTGATTTTCGTAATAAAAATCTTGTCTTTGTCTTATGGCTCGCTGGTTTTCCATTTCTATCAGTATTAAATTTACATTTTGATTTGTAGTCAGTAATAAGATTTATTGTCCCTCGCCCTATTGTAGTATTCTAGAAGAGAAATGACGTTTCTTCTTGGATCTGAGAACGTTGAGGAATAGCCTTGTACTTAGGGTGCAAAAAGATTTGGGATAAATATTGTGGTTCACTTGTATCTTTCTCTGGGTGGACATATCTCTTGCGTAACTTTGATTTGTATGGATTTGTCAGATTTGGCCATTTCGTTTTTGCTAAAGCTTAAGGAATTTATTTAAAAACCGCTTAGCGATGCACGTGGTTGTCCTGCGACTGCAATGTAGTCTCGATTTTATTTGTCTATCATTTGTTATTTATGGGTTATACTATGACATAATGACTTATGTATCTATTGTTTGTTCATGGTTCTGTCATTCTATTGGTTGTTTTATTCCAAATTCTGCGTGTAACTTAGAATGCAATCATCAAGATATCTTCTTAAGAGTACATGCAATTTTTCAACGTTCTGGCTTTATGCATATTGAAGAGGTTATTATAAATGATAGATTGCCTCAGAAGGACTGAAGCACAGAGTGTTTGAGGTCTCATTGGCTGATCTTCAAGGTGATGAGGACCATGCATTCAGGAAGATTAGGTTGAGAGCTGAGGATGTTCAAGGGAAGAATGTTCTCACAAATTTCTGGGTGGGTGATAGGTGGAATTTATTTTCCTCGTACTCTGACTTTCTGAATGCTTTTAATATATCTGAAACTTCCCTCTTGCAATCTCTAGGGGATGGACTTCACAACTGATAAGTTGAGGTCTTTGGTTCGCAAATGGCAAACTTTGATCGAAGCTCATGTGGACGTAAAGACCACTGATAACTACACGTTGAGGATGTTTTGCATTGGGTTCACTAAGAGGCGAGCAAACCAGGTGAAGAGGACCTGTTATGCCCAGTCGAGCCAGATCAGACAGGTATGCCCAAGTAGATACCTTGTTGCCTGCTTGCTGCTTGTTTTGGCATATCGTCATACCACTGATGAGTTCAATATTGTCCACTTGATAACCTTTTGGTCATTTTTTCAGAGTTTATCTTTGTGGAGAAATTTATGTTGCTCACTTCTCTGTGAGGTTGCCAATTTAAAAATGCTTCTGTGTCTATTCAGATCCGCAGGAAGATGAGGGAGATCATGACTAACCATGCAACATCCTGTGACTTGAAAGAATTGGTCCGCAAATTCCTCCCTGAGGTGATTGGAAAGGATATTGAGAAGGCAACTTCTAGCATCTATCCTCTGCAAAATGTGTTCATTCGCAAAGTCAAGATCTTGAAGGCTCCTAAGTTTGATCTTGGAAAACTAATGGAGGTACTTCCCTTTTTCTTAAATCCATTGTTTAATCAGATTTCATATATCTCTCTACATGGATAACATAATGCACATCTCGTGTGATGACTTTTAATTCACTGTTTGTTTTGTTCTATCATCATTCATGCTCGTTGGTGTGATGCCTCTTGATTTTTTGTTGTAGGTTCATGGTGACTATTCGGAAGATATTGGTGTGAAGGTAGACAGACCTGCGGATGAGACGATGGCTGAGGCTCCCACCGAAATTGTTGGAGCTTAAATGAGTTTTCACTTCTATTTTTCTGTTGGATCTTAGGGAGTTTCTGCATTATTTTTGGTTTTCTGTATTTTTTTCTCACTGAGATTTAAGCTTAAAGTTAAAAGGTCCCATGTCAGCCCGGCGAACCATTTTTGTTTCGGCCTTGTTTAGAAGTTTTGCACTAAATCTATATCTGCTTGTCGACCCCAAAGAAAAAATTGCTTTGCATGCTTTTGCTGCTTGTGAGATCTTGGCTGATGGCTGGTAAAAATAATGTATAATTTTACGTTACCTGGTCAAATCTTTTGCGAATGCCCCTTGTGGACGATTTTTGATTTAATAGATTGTGGGCAAAATTAATTTGTCAGTTCTTATGGTTGAGTGGCATCTTAGGCGTTTATCTATGTAGGAGCTATTGTCTTTTTAGGTGGGCGAGCCAAGTTTTTAAAAACTGAGTTAAACTGAAATAGGTTCATGCTTTATTGGTCAAATTGTGGTTTAACTAGTTGACATTAAATTAATGCTTTAAATTTATATATCATAATTAAATAAGAAATGCGTGTAAAAATGTATTTTTTTATAAAAAATGATGAATACTCGGTAATATAATGTGTTGTTGATGAATAAATGATTAATATTAATTATGATGCATTCTATTTAAAAATAAAAATAAGTTGATAGAATAATAAAATGTTAGACATTTTTTAAAAGCATGTTTAAGTTAAATTAAAAAGATCAAATTTAAACAAATAATATAAAGTTCTTAAAAAAAAGCAACCCAAGTCAAAAGGGAAAAAGAAAAAAGAGAAGAAAAATGAGGGTGAATGCATTAAACTGTGTATTGCGCATCTATGCATAATATTTGGTTAGAATCCTACACATCGCTTCGCTAAATCGCTTGTATCAGAAGGGGAATGGAGGCGCGCATGACTGTAAAAGAAAAGGGTGGAGCACGCCAGAAAGCAAGTATAAGAGGCTGAGCTTTACTTTTGTAAAAATTGCAGCTCATGGTAAAGAATTTTTAATATTTTAATATAATTTGGCATTTTTAATTTTAAATTTTAAATATGGTCTGGTTTTTCTACGGGAATCAGTCCTGTTTTCAACTGGTTTTACTGGCTATTGACTAGTTCCCTTATGCTTGATTTTAGGGTGTCAACCAGACCAAGATTCGGTTTTTAAAATTAATGAAACTGTATCCTCAGTGAATAGTCCTCTAAGATCAGATGTGAAGTATTGCCAAAAGAGTTCTACACTCAATAGTTTCGTACGTGCAAAGTGATTTGGACGTGCAATATATGGTTTTTGAAAATGGCATTGTATATTCATAAAACTTTTAAGTACCTATGTTATTAAGAGCATCTTACTCATGGGTTAACTGGGATGATAAAATCCTTCAAGCTTGGTCCGATGACTAATGGAAGTTTCTCTATTATGTATTAGAGGAACAAGGAGGTCAAACACATCATTCCTTTCAGCTAAAGATCGTGGCCAATCTATGAAAACAGGGATGAATCTAGAATTTCATCAGTTGGTTAGGGGGGTTTAAATTGCAAATATAAAATGGAGGGCTACAATATATATTGTTTTTAATTTTTTTATAAGTTAAACATTTAGGGTTTGATGCATAGGATATGAATGCACCAGGGCAAGATAGGTACAAGTAAACCGATTAATTTTCCTAAAGTACTGAGTATTTCCTTGTTTTTGAGGATTGTATTGTTTGGAATGCAAACTAGAAGGCAAGCAATTTTAGAACCAATAAAATTTCTAGGGATAGAGTTTTTCACCCAAACCTGTTGAGGGAATCTCACAGTCTAGCTGTAGCTGTTATTCTTTTTGTTTTGGTGGAAAATCAAATATTGTTAAACCAAGTAAAAATATTACAAACACGAGCCTGGGAAAATCCAGCAAGAACAACAACAAACAAAAACAAAGTTAAAAATCAAAAGTGAGCAAGACCAGAAAAACAGTAAGCTAACACATAAAAACAAGAACGATTAACAGTAACGAAACCATCAAGCAACTAGACACATGAAGAACCATCTACTTGAAGAGATAACCGAACATTGATCGATAGAGAGTCATTTTCTGAGGAAGTGCCATTGGTTTAAACATGCCTCTAAGCCTCAAAAGTACCAAGCATTTTGATTGTTCCTATAGGAATTGACAAGCCATTGCCTCGACTGAAAGTTTAGAAGTATATGCTTTCTGGTAGGCAAGAGTTAGTGTACAAGGGAATTGAGAAAAGTTTTTAAGCCAAATGATCAAAACCCTTCAACTTCTAATTTGAGGGACTCAAATTCAACCTTCAAATTGAAAGATTCTAAGGCCTAGAGAAGAAGCTAAGCATGTGCTTAAAGCCAAGAAGGACGATGAATTGATTAATATAGTTTTAAATTTCATTTAAATTTCTAAAACTATTTCAATTAGTGCTATTCTTTGTGAGATAACATATCATGAGATTTCAGATTATTATCAACTATTGTTCAATTGTCCTTATCATTTGGTATCCAGAATCTTAGTTGCTTTTTCAACTTATGTCTTCCCATTGTATTCTTCATTACTTATCATAATCATTTTTTTCATTTATTCACATTTCTTCCATATATTATTCACACATTTTTTCATCTATTTATATCTTTTCTATCCATTCCCTTTTTATGAAAAATAATTTATTCATTGGATCTCTTGCCATACGGATTCAGATTAAAACAAAAGGCAACATGCTTTGAAGAAAAAAGCCAGCAACATTATTGAAAAAAATCATGCAATAAAATTGGAAAAAAGGATGAAAAAAAGGTTGATTTGAAGAAAAAAAAGGTTGAAAAAGAGAGCTTAGATTCAATGTGACAGAAGATAGAGTTGGTTTTTTTTTTTGACTTAGTATCTTATCTCATCTCAACTATTATATTTTATCTTATCTTATCTTTCCTTACCTTACCTTTTTTTATTTTATTTATCTCATCTCATCTCGTCTTGTTTATTTTATAATATTTAATTTGATTTTGTTTTATCTTAGCTCATGTTATCTTATCTACGTTATTTTATCTCATTTTTTGTACTTCTTTTGTCACTTAACATTGATTTTATTATCATTGTTATCTCACATGTTAAAATTTTGCCAAATTGAATTTGAATGAAGAAGCTAAACCTATGCCTAGGGGCCATTAAGGACGATGAATTGATTAATATAGGTTTACATTTCATTCAAACTTGAGATACTATTTCAATTAATGTTATTTTTCGTGCAATAACATACCGTGAAATTTTGGATTATTGTAAAATATTGTTCGAATGCTCCTGTCATTTTCTATGCTTGAATGGATGAGGTTCTGTAACATATGAAACAAGAAGTAAAAGATGCGGCACTGCATTGTGGATCTCTCAGCAGCTGCACGAAAACTCAAATATCAATAATCTGATCATGGTGGGATGTAGAGTTTCTTTTCTAAAAAAATCTCCCTGAAAACCATAAGCTTCATCGTAATATTCATGGAACTAGCGCTTGAAGCCTCGAGAGGTGGATTCAATGAAATCCACAGTCACGTTATACAGAGACTGTCAAGAATCACCGACTAATAAATAAAAAGGGGAATGCTGTAGAATTTTGAAGAAGTGTGTGGCAGTAAAAGAAAAGAAAATTCTAAAATGATGTGGAAGAAGAAACCGACTTGAATGGTGGTGGAGAATTGAGGAATGAAGAAGGTTCTAGATGAAATCCGTCAGCGCCATTCATAAACGTGTGTGTTAGTCCCGATGTGCGTGTGATAGAGTGAAAGAAAATAGATGAAGAAGCAAGGTGACACCAGAGACTAAGTGAGTGAAGGTGTGAGTATAGTGGGATGCAGATCCTCCCATAATTGTTTTATCTCAGCATCCCTCAGCATCACATCTGATCCCTTCAATAAAATATTTAATGTCTCACACTTTACCATGTCATCTCAGGTAAAAATAATTTTATTTTAAAATAATTCTTTTATAAAATTGATTTTTTATTTTATTTTTTTATTTTCGAAACTTATTCTAAAAAATTACACAGATTTTTACAAAAAATTTATAGTCCAGCTTATTCAAACTCTAACTTGACTTATTTAACAAAAATTTGGTTGAAAAAAAAATAACAAAGTAAATGAGACAATAAGCAGGCACATACAATATGACTTATTCAAATGGCATGATCTATTTAATAAAAATATATTTAAAAAAATTTACAGAGTAAGTCAGATTGTAGTCAAATACTTATGGTCTGGCTCATACAAACTTTGATTTGGTTTATTTAATAAAAATTTATTTAAAAAATATAAAGAGAAAATTTTTAGAACAAGTTGAAAGAATTATTTTTTTAAATAAAATTATTTTTACAAGAGATGATGTGAAAAAAAAAGAGATATTGGATATTTATTCAAGGGATTAGATTGGGACGTTGATTCTAAGAGGATCTGCATCAGAGTATGGTGTCGAGGAGTGTCGGAAAAAGCAAGGGGGGAGAAAGAGTGAGAAAAAATTAAGAGAGAATTTTTAAGGATGTGATTTAATTACTAATAAACCCTAAAAAAATTAAAAGTGAAAATAATTTTAACTGTGAAAAGACCAAAGTATCCTTTACTTATTATGTAAAATTACTAATTGTTAATTTTCTTAATTCACTTGTTAATTAATCAATTTTACTTATAAATTACATTTATTTGTCAAACAAGCAATAACATTGGCTATTAATTTGTCAACTTTACTTATTAGTATACTAACATTAGTTGTAAATTATAAAACCTGTCAATAATTTATAAATTATATTAGTAAATTAGCAATTTAATAATTAATGTTGATGCTTATAATTGAACAACTAATGTCAAGTCTTATATAATTATTGACATGTTAACTCATGTAATTTATAATTCATATTAATAAATTAATAAGTGGAGTAAGAAAATTAATAACTAGTAATTCTGCATAACAAATGAAAGGAATTTTAATCTTTTCACAATTGAAATTATTTTTACTTTTATCCTTTGACTGAACTGAAATTTTTAAATTTTTTGACACCCGCTAGTAATTAAGTCTCCTTATTTGAAATTCTTCCAAAAATTAAAGTAAAAATATGAGCGTTTGTCTATATTATAATTTGAGTACAATAAAAAAAATTTCAGTTTAGTCCCTCAATTTCTCCCTCCTCAAATTCCAACGGAGACTGGACAAGAGTGGCTGCAATAGAACCTGTACCAGGACTGTCCACAATTGGTGATACCTTCTTATCAAATAACTGTCCTGCCATAGATTGTAAATAACCAGTGGGTCTTGAAGATTATGAGGAAACAAACTTCTGTGAACTCTTGCACCATCACCGTCGAAACTGCTTGAATGATGTTCATAGTGTTGAATAATAGTAACACTTACTTGAACATTCCAAAGAACTTGTTGATGACTGATTGAAGCTTAAAAGGATGTATCTTTTGATGATCTATCAGATCTTGTTTATTCTCAATAAACATACAAGATGCCTATGGCTTGCATTTCAGATGTCATTCTTAAGGGCAAATGGTCACTCCCTGAGAAATATATGTTGCGCACTTCCGTGTGAGGTTGCCAATTTAAAAAATGCTTCTGTATCTTTTCAGATCCGCAGGAAGATGAGGGAGATCATGACTAACCATGCTACATCCTGTGACTTGAAAGAATTGGTCCGCAAGTTTCTCCCTGAGGTGATTGGAAAGGATCTTGAGAAGGCAACATCTAGCATCTATCTTCTGCAATATGTGTTCATTCACAAAGTCAAGATCTTGAAGGCTCCTAAGTTTGATCTTGGAAAACTAATGGAGGTACTTCCCTTTTTCTTAAATCCATTGTTTAATCAGATTTCATATATCTCTCTACATGGATAACATAATGCACATCTCGTGTGATGACTTTTAATTCACTGTTTGTTTTGTTCTATCATCATTCATGCTCGTTGGTGTGATGCCTCTTGATTTTTTGTTGTAGGTTCATGGTGACTATTCGGAAGATGTTGGTGTGAAAGTAGACAGAACTGTAGATGAGACGATGGCTGAGGCTCCCACCGAAATCTTCGGAGCTTAAATGAGTTTCTACTTCTATTTTTCTGTTGGATCTTAGGGAGTTTCTGCACTATTTTTGGTTTTCTATATTTTTTTCTCACTGAGATTTAAGCTTAAAGTTAAAAGGTCCCATGTTATGTAAGCCCAGCGAACCATTTTTGTTTTGGCCTTGTTTAGAAGTTTTGCACTCTCAATCTATGTCTGCTTGTCTAAGACCCCAAAGAAAAAATTGCTTTGCATGCTTTTGCTGCTTGTGAGATTTTGGCAGATGACTGGTTGTAATAATGTATAATTTTTACATTACCTGGTCAAATCTTTTGTGAAGTTTCCCCAATTATTGATTTAATAGATTGTGGACAACATTAATTTGTCAGTTCTTATGGTTGAGAGTGGCATCTTAGGCATTTATCCATGCAGGAACTATTGTCTTTTTAGGTGGGCAAGCCAAGTTTTTAAAAATCAACTAGTTCATGATTTATTGGTCAAATTGTAGTTTAATTAATTGATATTAAATTAGTGTTTTAAATTTATATATCATAATTAAATAAGAAATACATGTAAATATGTATTTTTTTAAAAAAATGATGAATACTTGGTAATATAATTTATGATGCTTTCTATTTAAAAATAAAAAAAGATGTTGATAGGATGAAAAAATGTTAGACATTTTTTAAAAGCATGTTTAAGCTAAATTAAAAAGAACAAATTTAAACAAAAATTTAAAATTTAAAGATTAAAAGTACATGTTTACTCTAAAAAAATATCCAAGATATAAGTGAAAAACAAAAATCAACCCAAAAACAAGAAAGAAAGAAGAAAAATGAGGATGAATGCATTAAATTGTGTAATGTGTATGCATAATATTTGGTCTGAATCCCACGCATCGCTTCGCTAAATCTAAGAAATAGCATAAGAAAATGACTCGCGAGAGCCGGACGGGACTCATCGAGGGAATTGGGATTGATGTGGATGATGTAAAAGGTGTCGCCCTTATCGGCCAAATTGTCCAGAGCCCATTTAAGAGCATTCTTGTTGCTTCTGGAGAAGTCGAGGGCGACACCGATTTTCCGATCTTTTACCATGCTCTTCTTCTCTTTGTTTCTCTCCGCCTATAAGTTAGTATTGGAGACATGATTACGGGCCAGCCCAAACAGGTTGATATTTTTGTAAGTTAGATTGAATCAACTTATAAGATAAAATGAACTGAAAAATTAAACTCAATTTATTTGTTAGTATGTTAGCCAACCCGTGGATTGGATCAACCTACAAGATAAAATGAGCTGAAAAAATTAAACCCAATTTATTTTCTAGTGTGCTAGCCAACTCACGGGTTGGTTCGCAAAAAATTATCAAATTTTTTTAATAATTTAAAATTTATATAATATAAATATATTTATTTATTTCATATTTTAAAACAAATTAACAATTAAAAAAACTTGTAAATAAATAAAATAAACATAGAATTCAACCAAGCAAATTTATTTTGTTAGATTTTTACTATCAATTATCTTCTTGCCTAGGTATGCTATCTTTGTCACTAAGAAAGAAAATTTAAATATAAATCTATATTATTTTTCTCAATGAATTCATATTTATAATTTCAATCAATATATCTTATGAGATTAATAAATAATATATATTTAAAATATTTTTATAAAAACTAATAAATCATCTTCACAAGCTATAACAAAAATTTTATTTACAAATTGTAAAAAGAATTTACACTATATTTCAAATGTAAAGAATATATTTAAAAGTCATAAATTATATATTTAAAAAATATTATTATTATTGTAGATTTATAAAAAGATATAATATAATTAAAAAATAAATAAAATTATTTTTTAAAAATATGTTAGCCCACAGGTCAGCCTATTTTAGCGTGCTATTTTTGTGGGTTAGATTAACTTAGCCCATTTTAAAAAATAAATAAATTTTTTAAACCCAACTTATCAAATTGTGAAAGTTAAATGAGCTAGTTTGTAGATTTAACCCATTTTTTCTACTTAGGGGTGTTCAATTTGGACCGTCCCGATTGGTCTGGTATTGTCCCGATCATATCGAGATGGGTCTTGTCTTGGCCCAAAAAAAATCGAGACTGGACTTTATGGGACAGAACAAGAAAGGGGTTTGGGACGGGACAGGACACGTGATTACCGTCGGGACATCCCGTCCCTTCCCGAATATTATATATATTATTTTTTATTTTAAATATATTAATTATATTAATATAATTTATACTTATATTAATTATATTAATTATAATTTTAATACTTACAATTCTTATTTAAAACTATAGTATTTTTATATTGATAATTTTAATGGCATGGAGTAAACATGGCGATATCTTTTTTTATAATATATTAATTATATTAATATAATTTATTCTTCTATCTATCTATTCAATAACTTTTATTCATAACATATTTCTTGCTTATTTTTAGAAGAGTAATTAGCTTAGTACATCTTCACTAAAATAGAAGAACAATTATTTAATGTTGTGTTTGATTTGCCTGTTGTTGCTAATCTTATAGCATAAAGATCACTTGTATTTTTTATTATAATATGTAGTTGTGATTAATATATTTCAATAATTAATTTTAAATTATTGTTATTTATGTACTTGTATTATTTTGATTTTAAACTTAATAAATTATATAATTTAAAATTTTAATGAACATTATTATCCAAATATTTTTTTGATATTATTTCATTTATCGGGACGGCGGGACGTTCCGATCTTATCCCGATCTCGTCCCGACTCTTAATGAAATGAGACGACTTTTAAAATGAAACGGGACACGAGATTAAAATTTAATTTCAATTTTTTTTTTCAGAACGAGACATAGAACGGGATATTTTAGTTCCGTCCTGTCCGTGAACATCCTATTTTTACTCTACTGTAAGTGCTAGAGAATGTGTGCCGTTATAAGCAAGCAAGAGACTCCAGCAAATGCTTTTGGCGTGAGGATGCGAGTGTGGACCCTGGTAAAAAGGTAAGCGGCCGAAGATTATAGGGGAAATGACGTTCATGGGCCCTGTAAAGTAAGTTAATGTTAATAAAGGCCTTCATTTTCGAAAATCTTAGCAAGGATCCAATGATAAGAAAGTCAATTTGAAAGGACAAAAGCGTCATTAAAACTTGAATATAAAATTGCTTTAAAAGATATTTAAACCTTACGGGGCTTTGTTCTCATCCTTTTATTGAAAAGAAAAATATTCTAAGAGATATTATTTAATATTCAATGATTTTTTTATTAGGAATTGGCTTTCCTTCTTTTCAATCGTTAAATTAAATTTCATAATTTAAATTTAACTTAAACGGCTTAAATTTTCAATAAAAAGAAAATGCAGTGAAAAAAAATTCAATACTCTTTATTACATTATGTTACTTCCATGATTTTTAATTTCATCACCGAAAATGACATTAAAAACTGCAGATTTTTGGGGATCATGATTGAGACCTATTTAGGATCCATCTTAAAAAAAAATGTTAAAGATTAAAATAGCTTTACTTAGGAGCCGTTTGTTTTTGTTAGAGAGAGAATGACATCAAAGACCCTAAATTTTTTTTTTATAATAAAGGTCTATTAATTTTATATTAAATATTTTATTTTGAAAATACAAACATGTTATTATTAAAAGTTAGACCTTAACTTGTATTTATTGTTAGGACTTCTTCAAAAATTTAACAAGACTCGTCTTTTGACAGTAACATATCTCTGTTTTCACAGCATAATATTCAATAAAAAACTGATATATCTTTATTGTAACAGTTTTCTTTTATAGGGCCTTCAACCCCATTCTCCCATTTTTAATAAAAATCAGTTTTTTTAATTAGTTTTTGAAATTTTATCATGTTTGTTTAAGATTTAAGAAGAATTATAGTTAGGTCTCACACAAAAAAATTAATTATTACAAGGTCCATTGACAATTGAACTAAACTACATTGACAATTGATTGTGTTGTTAATACAGTTTAATTTAGTTGTCAATAAATCTTGCAGTGATTAATTCCCTTGTGTGAAACTTTAATATAATTGTCCCTAAGATTTAAAAATAGATGATTTTTAGACCGTTTAGAAATTTTATAAAATAATTTTTTTATACAGTTATTAGGTTAGATTTGAACATTGTCAAGTTTAATTAAGAGCAATCATTTTAAAACAATTTTCTAGTTCATATAAACTCGAACTTGAACTCAAAACCTTATGTTTAAGAGGCCATAGCTTATTTTACAAGCACCAATGCTTCTTGATTAAAAAGAGATTTATTTTATAGATATTTTATTATATATATATATATATATTATTTTATTATTGTAACCAAACATAAAATAATATTTATTTTTTTTATAAAAATGTATATAAAATAAATCTATTTTTATACGAGAAGCCACTTATTTTTTTAATTTTAAATAAACCGGCCTTTAATCACTAGTGGATGACTTTTAATATTTTGGTTCAATTTTTAAAAATTAAACACATTGTTTCGTAAAAAATATGACTTTTCGTAAACTAAATATAAAATTTATAAATAAATTCATGAATATTTAGATATCATACAAAAAATGGTGGCTCCAAGGTTAAAAAATAATCAATTTAAATTTAGCTAAAATCAAATCACTAATTATCGAGCGCTCAAGATGGAGATTTTAAACAATCGAGTAGATTAATTGACATTTCCCAATTAGATTACAATGCACTTTAATTAATTAATTATCAGATGAGACCGCTTATATAATTGCATGTTTGTGCACCTTTTTCCTCCGAGCTTCTTATTCTTTTTCCATTTATTTTCCCTTTCAATAGTTGCCTAGCTAGCTTTTCGAATTTTATCAGAATCCGACCGCCTTCCTATTTTATGTATTTTATTTTATTTTTTATTACTTACATGTATTCTCTTATTAAAAACAATCTTGTTTTAAGTATAGTCTAATTTAATTAAAAATGTTATCATTCTCAATTTAAATTTAAGACATTTTCGAATTATTTAGACTAAAAAATAATAATAATTTTTCAAC